ACCCCACGACCACAGCACCACACTCACACCACACTCAACGACCAGAGAGCACCACACCAGACCCACGACCACGGCACCACACCTCGACCACAGCACAACCAACACCAATCTATGAAGAGAGAGCCACACACCCGCGACCACTCTCCACGACCACACACCACACACAGCACCACACTCCACACCACACCCACGACCACAGCACCACAATCACACCACACCCACCATGACCACAGCACCACACTCGACGACCACAGCACCCACTAGACCACAGCTATGACCATGCCAATCTGACCACACCACACCCACGCCACGCACACAGCACCACATCCACGACCACAGCACCACACCCAAACCACAGCACCACACCACACCACACCCACGACCACACCATTCCACACCACACTCCACGACCACAGCACTACCAGCAAGTAATCAGTACTCGTACTCTTGCTTTCTAATGTGTTTTTCAGATGCCCTTCCCCAGATGGCTAGGGTGAATGGCAGGAGTTCCATCAAAGGTTTCATTTCACCATGAAGACCTGCAGAGCAATTAAACAGAAGCTTCTTGTTATGTAGGTTACCATTTTTCACCAAAGAATTATACATCAGGACAACTTCAGATGTGGGCTTTGTAATTATGCTTGCCTAGATCAGTAGATCCTTGTTTAAGATGGTTGTAACGTATTGTACATTAATTTCTTCACTATAAAAAATCAAATATGTTTTCAAATGTGGAAATTATATGTGCAATGTTTTACAGTATCTAATTTAGTAGAATGGAATATAAGAAAGATTGCATATAGTAGTAATATATAAGAACATAAGTGTGAAATGTAGGGACATATTATTATAGATCCCGATAAAGAAATGAGATATTGTAACATATATTTGTACCAAAAAGTTGCAGAGAAAAACAAAATATTTAAATTATGCCAAACCATCACTGATTTAATAAAATATATCTTGAGATTGTTTTTCAACAAAAATATATAGTGAAATTATTTTCATGACAATATTAGAGAAAAATTAAAAGTTAATGGAAATTACAACTACAAGTAGCCAAGTAAGATTTTTTAATGATCTTAATGTCTTATTGTTCACATATATGTGAAATGAGGATCTTTACTCTTGTAAAAATTTTCAAGAGAGATTTATGTAAAGAAAAGAAAAAGGATGAAAGTTCTTCATATTGTGTTGAAAAACACAGCTAAAGTAAGGTATAAATATGTGAGTGTAAACACAGCTATAGTGCATAACTAGGTATTAAACACAGCTAAGTAAGGCATACTAGGTATGTTAAACACAGCTATAGTAAGGCATAACTAGGTATTATACAAGTAAGGTATAATCTAGGTATTAAACAAAGTGGGTATGTATTAGGTAGTAACACAGCTATAGTAAGCATGTAACTAGGTATTAAACACAGCTAAAGTAAGGCATAATAGGTATTAAACACAGCTGTGTTGCGTATAATTTGGGTAGTAATGTGTTGATTTATATTTATTTTACTGTTCAACCAATGAGGAATAATTTACATAAGGGTATGTATTATACATCGTTTTGGAATGTTTCACTTACCGGGCATGTTCTTGAACTGATGCTTGTAGTGCACTCTTTTGTTTGAATATATTGTACCTACTAGCTTTTATACGTAAGTTCCGCAAACTTTCTAATGCAGCACTGTACCTGAAGATTTTCAATAATACAATCTGTGTGGTCTTGGTGACTTGATTTTTACTATCTATGGAATTTCATGATGTTAGAATCTGGAGTATGTCTTTATCCATATGTTTAATGCTGATGTATTTTATATATAAGTTTGCTCTATAGTGTTGTTATTTTTGTTCATTGTTATGTAATTATGTGAGTGCATGTTCTACTATGTTTATGTGCATGAAATTGCTATTTGTGCATTTTGTTATTTTAGTGAATGTCATTAACATTTTTCATGCATATGTGTGTGTAAAGGAAAATTGTAGTGACTATAAGATAATATATAACATTTGCTGTTTGTATTTTTGATGAATCATAATGACAATATAGATGCATTAAAACATATATCTATATTTTCTTTTCCAAATAATTTTAATGTGTTGGAAACTTCCATATGAACAACGAAGAACAAATATATATATATATATATATATATATATATATATATATATATATATATATATATATATATATATATATATATATATATATATATATATATATATACTAGCCTAATCGTCGCTAGGCCACGCAGTAGACGTTGTTCTCGAGAGGCTCCAGCCATTGTCTCTTGCTCTCACCGTTCAGTCCTCAAAACAACTTCTTCCATCAATAGTTCATTAACGGTGTATGTGTCTCCACCATGTTTTTCACCACAACGGCATACAGCAAAGTATATTTTTAGCATTAAACTGTTATAATTTTATTGTCTAATCATCACTACATATAACACCACCACCAATCATCACTATATAACATCAATATCCATCATCACCATATATAACACCATCCATCATCACCACATATAACACCATACATGACTACCACATATAACACCACACCCATCATCACTACATATAACAACATCCATCATCTATATAACACCTATAACACCATCCATCGTCACTACATATACACCATCCATCATCGCTCACAACACCATACATCATCACTACATATAACACCAACCATCACTTGCCATAAAAACATCCATCATCACCCATATAACACCTATAACACCATCCATCGTCACTACATATAACACCATATCCATCACATACAGTCCTTGACCACTGAAGGGTCGTGACGTACCTGCGCTCCTCTCGGAGCAGCCAGGTCAACTGTTGTTGGCCCGTACCAACCCCCCTCCCTGAACCTCCTCCCACTGGAATATCAACAGTTCTCGCCAGAAGTTACAATTTCATTTAGGAAAGGAACGGAACCAGTGTTAAACAGAGGTGAACAGTGGTAACAGTGCTTGTCAGTGAGAACAACTCAACAGTAACAGTTCGTACCCAAGTTAACCTTCATCAGTGAGATCCCAGGTACTCCAGTGATAACGGCCCGTGAGAATCCAACAACAACCAGCGATGTGTTAATCCGTCTACGATAGGAAGGCCTAAGACCACACCTCACCTATAACACCATCTGTGAGGGAATTACTACACCACATGTCCTCATAACACCATAGAGGGAATTAATAAATTACTGTCAAGTCCCTCATAACACCATCTGTGAGGGAATTACTACACCACGTGAGGTCCTCTCATAACACCATCTGAGGGAACTATTACACCACGTGAGTTCCTCCTAACACCATCTGGGAGGAGTTATTACACCACGAGTTTGCTGTTCAACACCCATATTAATCTGTATGTTCACTGTATGTTCTTTACCTTTCAAATTTGTTGTGGACTGCATGAGCCAAAATCAAGATGCAAGAACATTTGGAGAAGAATTCTCACTCGAGCGGCGTTTCAGGGCTCTTGTCTCTACCAACCCTTTTTATGCACTTTTACACGGTTGACTCTTGCACCCCCAATGCCTATGTTTGTCATGTATGCCGACGATGTAACATCAGATCGTCACCTGTCTTGTGAAGGTGTCCATAGCAAGGATGGCGCGATTCACTACTCGGGCAATAGAGGGATCTTGAGTATGAAAATAAATGCAACCTCATTCTAAATCCAGGTTGCTTAGTTAGCCAACAAACTCTGTATTATGTAAACAAGTGTGCCGTCCTCTGTTTAACTCATTAAACTTTTTACCAACCTTTCCCCACGACTATATTGTTGTGACTTCTCCATCCTCATGTCTGGCTTTTCCTTGTGTTTCCAGCATGCCTTCCATCCTTTCCCCACCTTAACCTAAAAAACTCTAATGAAGGCTTTTGTTAACCACCAATGTATGTGTATAAGTCATTTATGTCCAATGTATATTTTCAGCCTTTTGTTAGAGAATTTTTTCAATAAACCGTTAATAATAATATATATATAACACCATCCATCATTACTACATATACACCATCCATCGTCATTTATTATAACAGTTCATCCATCATCACTACATAACACCATCCATCATCATTACAGGTTATAGCACCACCTTCAATTACCATCATCACTACTACCACCATCAGCACTAATACCACTCACACTACTACCATCATCATTACCACCACCATCATACCAATTACTATCAACCAGTCTTTATCACCACCACCATCACCACAAACATGCCGCCATCACCACCTACCATCACTACCACTGTCACTCGCTACCACCGTCACTTCATCACTACATATAACACCATCCATCATCACCTTCACATAAACACCACCCATCGTCACTACATATAACAACATCCATCATAACTACATATAAATATCAACATCCATCATTACATAAACACCATCCATCACTACATATAACACCATCCATCATCACTACAGATCGGCAAAGTAGTTTCGAGATTCTCAAAGTGACACACACAATAATACGTCATTGTAGACTTGATCTTCTAAAAGGTTATTATCAAATGGAGTTGACTGGAGACAGCCAAAACCCCCCCCTCTGCTTACATTACTCCCTTTGGATTAGTATCAATATAAAGTTGTCTTCGAATGGTTACTACTACTCTACTCTCAGCGTGCCACACTCCCCCACCATTCAAGACCTTCTGGCACCCATGCATACTCTTAGTATGACCCTATAACACCAGAAAGTTACAGGAACATCCAATCTGAAATTTCCATTAATCTTGTTCGGTCTATTGCGGTGCTTATGGTTCCCCACCATCAACCCGCCAAGTCCACTTTTGGAGTGCCACCGTGGTATTTAGTATTACGTTGCTGAGGCACAGACCAAAGGACGCCAATGTGGGAAGCCATCCTGTCCTTCCCCACACCACCACGAGAAAGCCCTCCTGCGCTTTTTTTAGGAATGGCTGGCTCTCTACTGACGATTCCAGTAATCTCCACATTACTGCCCCTCTACTTACTTGTCCAGCCCCAAACTTCATTTATGGACTCTGACTGTGATGCTTCAGCTGTCTCCAAACTACTGGCTGCTGTCGCCCCACCCCTGTTCTCAGAACTCCAGAGACCACTCCCAACCTTTCATTCTTCAAGCAGACGGTGGGGAGGAGTTGGTGCTGAAGCAGTCCTGCTTCAAGAGGACCCTTGCAACAGTGGAGTGCTACACCAAAAGTTCACTGTTCTGCCACAAATTGAAGAAACACCAAAAGGGACTCCATCATTGAGAGGCCCTGCCCAGTCAAAGTGGCTCTCCACAAATTTGACTGCTATCTCCACCAACACCTCATCCCATCACTGCTGTTACACCGACACAACCCTCTCACCTTCACCCGTATGCAGAACTCCAACCAACGCATACTGAGATGGCCTCTGCAGATCCAGCGCTACCACTTGGATTCATGAGTATAAAAGGCGGACAAGATCATGATGTCCTCTCCAGGGACCCACCTGAAAGGTCTCACCACTTCTTCCTCGAGAAGTCCGTCAGATCCTTCTGTCCAGCTGACTTGGGTTCTTGGATCACACTCCGGATCAAAAGACTTATGCAAACAAAGAGACAGAGCAGCACATGCAATTGAACAAGACAGA